TGAAGCCATTTATATAGAGATCAGTTAGATAGTAGAAGATAGGAAATACTAGATACAAAAATTTACGTTTCAGTGTAAAACATAATGGGATATATGCATGGTCAAAAAAAGTTGAAAGTAAAAATAATTTCAGCTCTCTGAAAACACTTTTTTAGAAAAATTTTTGAAAAAAGTCGAAATTGTTTTTAGTTTCGTCTTTGATTCGACTATGAATATGCCCCATTATGTTTTAAACGTAAAGAGACTTACAAATCAAAGCATACGAAATATCGAAAAGCAAGTAATTTATCTAATTAAAAACATTAGTTAATTAAAAAATCAGCTATATTTTTATAAAAAAAAACAACTAAAATAAAATAAAACAAGTAATTTTTAAGCAAAATTCAAAACCGACCTCCTTAATTCTCATATAAAAATTTAAGATTAACGATTAATTTCTTCATGATCCAATTATCGGATCTAAACAAAATAAGTATGCGACCACCCTTGGGGTACCACCTTTCCGAGGAAAAGAGAACTATCGGTTAACGTGGGCCAAAGTTATGCGGTAACATACATAAAAAAAAAATCCGACGAACTGATAACCTCTTCCTTTTTTTGAAGTCGGTTAATAAAATAAATAGTCAAAACTTTTCAATATGTTGGCCTCTTATAGTTATGATACGCACTTTTAAAAGGATTTTTGGTATGATGTTTTGTAACCCATTTAATTGTAGTACATTAAAGTGCAAGTTTGAAATAGCTAGGACTTACGTATTTCCATACGATGTATGTTCGACGATTTTTGTTATATGTAGAAAATGAGCGACACCTTCACCAAAAAACTTGCAAAAAATCAACGGTATATCCTGGTTACTTCAAACTTGCACTCAAAATCTTTTTTAAATATCTTATCAAAAACATCGATATTTTTACGAAGTTGGAAACTTAGCTTTATTCGATTTTTGTTAAGAAATAAACTATATTTTTATAAAAGAAAAAAATTATTAAAATTAAATAATAACAAGTAAGAAAGTCTAAGTTCGGGCGGAGCCGAACATTAAATACCCGGCGCATGTATTAAATATATGTTTTTTCACCCTTCCGAAACCTTCCGCTAGATAGTAAGCCGAGGTGTATCAATTTTGAGTAAATTAGCGTCCTTCAATTTCGAAATATTGAAGTTTCAAGCATTTCTTAAATTTACCGTTATATGAGAATCGGCCGTTATTTTAGTCCGATTTCAATAATTTTCAACGTTTTGCTTACACGTGGCAAGTACAATAACCATACCGAGTTTGGTACAAATTGGTAGAACGGTTAC